GTAGGCGACAGGGTGGGGGTCCCGCGGGACACAGGCCGCGGAGGGGCCCCGGCAGGTAGGCGACAGGGTGGGGGTCCCGCGGGACACAGCGCTCATCTCCAGGCGTCTCCGGCTCCCGCACACACTCACCCTGCAGCCTGTGGAGAGGGGCTTCTCCCGCTCGTCCCTTGGTTTCAGTAAGCCGGTGGGAGCGCGCGCTGAATCGCGGGCAGGCGTCGCTGCGCGTCGGAGCACTGACCCTGGAATCTGTGCCTGGAGTCTCTTGGCTCCCTACTATCAACAGTAACCAAAACTTTTCCTGATTAAATGATGTTACCAACTTGCCCTAGTAACTAAACTGCCTCAGAGCCCGACTCTGCATGTATTTGTGTAGTAGCAGCTCGACACAAGCAAAACCCTCGGACGTGTGCTTCCGACATCCACCTCGAAGCTAGATGTGCCCCGAGGGATGGCTGCATTTTCACTCTTGCATGAGTTTGTCACTCATGCTTTCTATTTCTGTAAATCATCATGCCTTGTCATTTGCGACAAAGCTTTTTAACTGGAAAAGTTATATTTAAAGTACTGGGGAAATTTACTATGGAAGAAACATGGGACTGTTTGTAAATATGAACTGTTCTACTATTACTCAAAAATCATTTAAAAAAAAAATATAAAGCATTTTATGCACTTTTCAGTCCAGTCTTTCTTCTCCACAAACCAGCAGCATGCTCAACGCCCAAATCCCCACATACCTGATTTTTTACTACATTTCTAACACTTCCTGCCGTCTTTCCTTTTTTTTTTTTTTTTTTTTTTTTGTATTTTAGGGAGGGGTCACAGGGTGTTCAGGGTCTCGCTCCTAGATCGGACTCCTAGTGATCCGCCTGTTTACAGCCTCCCAAGAGCTGGGATCACAGGCGCGCTACCACACCCAGTCTCCATCGCTGTCTCAGCATGCCCCCGGGCGGGGCCAGCACGCGGGCCTGGGGATCGAACCCCTGGCCCCTGGGTCTGCTTGCTGGCACTTCAATCTGCTGAACTATTTGGCAGGCCTTTCAACATTTCTAAGGAATGCATGCTCACCTGTTTTCTTCTTCGTCTCTGTCCTGTAAAATGTGCCAAATATAGCCAACAGGGTACCCATGGAACTCTCTGCTGAGCAACCTGTTCCTGGGAAGTCAATAGCTTCCTCGTTTTTTTGCCCCTTTTCATTTAAAATTACTGGTCCAGCCATCTAATGAAGGCGAAGACTTGTCAGTGCTGGTGAGCACACACATCTCGGAGGACCTCAGTACACCGAGCAATAGGGTTAGTGCTTAAGTGGTATGAGGGCGGGACACGGGAGCACTCGGAGAAAGAAGACCTAATGAGATGGGCTCATGCAGCGCAAAACGCTATAATTAAACAAACTGTGATAGGTCCTAGTAGAGGGCTATGCAAATAAGAGGCAGGGTTTTTTTTATTTGGTTGGTTTTTTTTGAGGCAGTATGATTTTTCTTGAGTCAGTTATAGATGATACAACATTTTGGTGAGATTTGCAGGTTGTAAATATTCAGGATGGCCTGCCTATGCAGTAGGAACTTCAGGAAAGGCGGGCCACCTAACTCATTTCTCTCTTTCTGGACACTCTCTGCATTGGTTCAGAAGTGGGGGAACAAGCTATAATTCGGGCAGTTTGTGTTCTGGTGACAAGCTTGTTTTGATCCTGTTAAGTCAGTCATGGTCACATTAAGCAGCCTGAGGCACCAGGAGAACAGTGCTGCTACATGTCCTGACAGTACTCTGCACCCCGCCCATGACATTCTAAAACTTGCCCATTTATACTGTGTCCAAAAAATTACACGTGCAACAGAAGTTTGATAAAAATATATTTAAAATAAGCAAGAAAAAATAGTTTTGGCCTTAAGGATAACTGTCACCACTGTTTTTTTCTTTTTATCAAGTAGAGTTAACTTATATGTGTAATGATTTCAAGTATGAACTTATAAAAGATGTGACAAATCAGAACAACAAAGAACAAGAGGGATCTTTTCTCAGAAAAATGTATTTGCAATTCAAATGTTCATATAAAAAGCATAAATTTCAAAAAGTTCATAGACTGAGTGTCTTGTACAAGCGCTGTGGTTTCACCATTCATTGTGATTACATTCCAACATGTGCAGGGCGGCCCACACTGTCACGGTATGCGCCGGTCACACTGAAGTCACTCTCATCACGACCTCCCCCGAGCTGTTATCCTCTGAGAGATCCTCACGGGGCCTGATGCGGTTGAACAGGTGGAGTAGCACGTAGCCGCACTGAAACCGCGGGGAGGTCAGCTGCGTCGGGTGGACCAAGTTTCTGTTCCGCAGAGCCGTCAGGGGCAACCATAAAGTCCTACTTGTGGAAGACTCTCCCCGGCTACTTTCTTCGATGTCTGTGGCTTTGTCATAATTTAGTACATCCCAGTGCAAATTAACGGCTCGCCAGCGCTTAAACACTCTGTAAACTGCAGCTCCTTCGTGGACAATGAGACCTGAAGTTCAAGGGAAGAAAAAAGATTGGTGACAATCAAAAGACAGGAAAGTGATTCTGCAGAAAGTGTAAAGGATTAAAAAATAATTTCCTGGTGTTCCTCACTATGAAAGAATATTTGAGTACGCAAATATCATGTCTACTTGCAGCTACTACTGATATGAATATTCAGGGAAGAAGAAGAATTCACTACACGTAGGCAGTGAAGCTGTCATGGATGTAATTTATTTGCTCCATCACGGTTCAGAACAGGCTTTGGGCATTTGTGTTGCCTTAGGACACTCGCTTCATTTATTAACTCAACTTGATACCCACCACGTGGCAGGCAATGCGCAAAGGGCTGAACCCAGTCAACAGTTTCATTGAGAGAGGGAAGATATATGGGACACGCCATCTCCCCCGTTGTCAGAACCATGCCTGCTTTAGTTCTCACAATTGCCTTATGAAGTGAGATACAAGTATTTCTCTCGTTTTGCCAACTGGAAACTAAGGCACAGGAATCTTAAGGGACAGCTCTCAAGCAACTAGAGCTGACAATTTGAAGAGGTGGCGCTGGGAGTCAAGGGCAGGCCGGCCAGGAGCTTGCTTCTTGCTGCTGGGAGAGACTCTCAGGAACAGAAAGTACTGGGAGAAGCTCGTGGGCCACACGCCAGGTGGGCCACACACCGCGTGGGCCACACACAAGGTGGCCATGATCTCCTCCCGCCCATGCCTTATCCGGCGTTTCATCTGTGTTTTGAAGTTTACGTTTCCACACGCAGCCCGAAACCTTGGGCTGGATATGTAACCTTGCACAGGAAAGGGAGCCCCTGAGACACAGCCCTTCAGAAAGAGAATAAAGGGACAGTCTTTTCTCTTTAGGGAGGCTGAAACTCCACTGGCACTGTGTGGAGTATGACTGGAGCGTACCAGTTGGCACAGCCGCTTTTCTAGTGACAAATTTGAGAATTTGTGACTCTACCCTCCACATTCAGCTCCTGGGCACATGCCCTGAAGAGCACGCATAAACATGGATGAGGAAGTGTGTTCCGAGAGGTACACTGCACCACTGTTTGTACTGGAGGAAAAGATCTTGAGCTATCTCGAGATTCCCAGCAGAACGGATAAGTTAGAGAACACAGGTCCAATGGGTGACAGCAACGGGACAAAAGGGAGCAAAGCCTCGCACAGTAAAATGGAGAAATCTCAAAACCATAATGAGACGCTCAAAGCCACAATGAAAAAAAAAAGTTTCAAAAATTAAAAAACATCGTGCATTTTCAGATCCCCCACATCATCTCTCTCTGTCTCTAAAGCTCCTATCTCTCTCTCTGTCTATCTGTCTGTGTGTCTCACTCTGTCTCTTTCTTTATTAATAAAATGTATATGATGGATGAATAATAACTACTGAATTCATGATACTGAGAAAAGAAGGAAATAAATGAGATTAGAGAGGGGCCTCAAAGAAGGGTTTTAACTATGTCTCAAATGTGTTTTTTTTTTAAAACTGGGCAACAGGAATATAGACATTAAACATACTCTATGCATTTCTGGGATTTATCAGGAAAGTTAATCTAAAATGGATTGAGAAAGTTAAACAAAGGGGATTGCTGCATTATACATGAAGAGCAGATAGCAGTGCAGAGTACACACAGACAAAGGAATGAATTCAAAGGGAAGAAGTAACAGAAACTATAATGTAAGAAAGGGACAGAAATCAGAGTTCCATATTTTAAGGGTGAAGGAGTGCCTGGCTGGAGGAATGGCAGTGACCTTCCACAGGGACAAGGAGTAAGGGTTCTGAGCACGATTTTACTGGGGACATCATTTCATCTCTCTTGAGCTAAACAATGTCAAATTGCTGACAAAAATTTCAATCCTTAAAAAAAATCATAATTTTGCCCACCTGAAGTCAGAATATAAGTTTTGCCTTGCTTCATTATCCAGAGATTAAAGTCTGATATATGTGACTTAGAAGATTCCAAAGACTTAAAAAATGCAAGTGGTCAAATAAGTCTATAGGTGGTCAAACACTTTACAAGATACATTTTGTATACTATTAAAATAATGAGAAGATCTATAAACTTATGTTAATCATAAAAACTTCAATAAAATTGCTTAGATCATCTTCCTTCTCCAAAGAAATAAGGTTGACCCAACTGACCAGACAAGAGACAGAATTATAAGTAAAAACTACTAGATTTTAATTGGTGATTTTATTATTAGACTCCTGTGTTCTTCATGACCAGTATTTTAACCTTTTTGACTCACTTTTCCCTCCTTAGAATGCAATCTAAACACTTGATTTTTACATTCAATGAAACTGTGTGACAATAAATTGAAATTCATCAACTCTAGGACATTCAGGTTTCCTGAGTTGGTAAGCATATAAATTCAAGACATTATTATTAATTAAAAAATAGTACTGAATCTATTGTGAAGAAGATTTCATTTACACTAATAACAAAGCAATTGCAGCCTGACCCACATTGGCCCCGCATGGGCAGGGGCGTGCCTCACCAAGGGTGTCGCTCATACACAGGATTCTATTGTTTTGTACTGATTTCCCTTGAAAGGCAAGAAATCATGTCATTTTCTAGAGTTGAAAGTCACTTTCTGGGAATATATTCCTAGTATCTCTTTTCTAAATACATGCCAATAAATCTCATAGGTCTTGATAGCACATTTTCAATGGAATTTAAAGAGAAAAAAACTACTACTATTCAAATTGTCATATAGCTACAGTCCACTTGAATTTCCAGTTCTAGGGTCTGCTTGCTAATTAATTGAGTTATGAATAATGTTTAGATTTTGTTTCGTTGGCCATTAGCATCCAGAATTACTCCTTGCCCTCTGGAAGCTTAAATTTCCTTGAAACAGTGAACTCCACCTTGAACCTCAGAGATATTCTCTGTGCTGTGTTAGATAGTCTAGAATTCTAGCAAATGCTTTTATATTATGAGAAGAGATGACTACCATGATTTTTAAATCCACAAGTAAAATAATTTATTCAAGTCTAGTATGGTGCACTGAAAAGGCTACCTCTAAGCACTGTAGGGTTTGCTTTCTTACTGATAATCAAATTAATTTGTCACCTTGACACTTCTGGTCATAGGAGAACAGAATTGGGTTTACTTTTGCATCTGACTCACTATGACTTGCAGGAAAAAAAGCAATGTAAGTTTCCAAAAGATGTAAATATTAAATATTTTCTAATACAGTCTGCAGTAAATGGCATGATGTCAAGTCGAGATTTAAGGATTTGAGAAATATGTATGTGATTTGTTATTTTTGCTATGTTCTTAACAGCAACGTTTAATTGTGACATGTTCTTGTTGGGTTATAAAGAAAAAAATTTGGAGGGCTGGCCAGGTAGCTCAGCCAACTAAAGCACCTGCTTAGGTAGAGCGCAGCAGTTGGGGTACAATCCCCTGCATGCCTTGCCGGCCCTGCCCCCGGGCCAGGCTGAGGTGGTGATTGAGACTAGGCGTGGTGATGCATGCTTGTAATCCCAGCGCTTGGGAGGCTGAAAACAGGAGAATCACTACAAGTCTGATCTATGTAGTGAGACCCTGGAGACCCTGTAGACCCTGTACCAAATATATTAAAAAAAGAAAAAGTAAAACATTTTTGACAGGCAATAATAGTCATGAGAAACAAATCTTGGGTCCTGATTTCATTGAAATGAAAATGTTTTGGTGTAAGTAAAATATATTCTAAATGTTTTTAAAGAAAATACAAATAATAAAAATATTAGAAATTGTATAGACTTTGACTAAATAAGATGATAAGAATTCAACAATAGTTGCTGTATTGTATGTTGTGTTTAAATTAGTTGTTCAGATAACCAGATATATGCAGAAAATTGGTCAATAAAAAACATTAAAAAGAAAAAAAAATCATTCACTATTCCTTTCAACAGACCAGCAGAAATCAACAGTACCATTCTACCAGCTATCCTGTGTTTATACTTATATATTCCAAATTTTGGAGTGGAAAGTTTGTTAGTTGAAGTTCTTTGTGGGACTAGAACCTGAGCTAACTGCCCCAAAATGAGGGGGAAGTTTATCAAGGTACATTTGGACTCTGCTCACATGCTCGGCCCATTCACTCACACACACACACACTCTCTCTCTCTCTCTCTCTCTCTCTCTCTCTCTCTCTCTCTCTCTCATATACACAAAACCATTTGTCTATGTCTACTTCAACTTTGGAAATGTTATAACTAACAAAGATTTATAAAATTATGATCAATGACAAATTTTATCTGGTATCAATAACCAAACTACTAGCCAAGCAATGCCATTTCTTGTCTTGCCAATCTTGACTGTTTTGGTTGTTTCTCATAATTTACAATCTACTTTTTTATCAGGGGTCTTTTCCTTGCTAAGCATTGTCTAAAGAACTTCACAGGCATGATTTTCATTTAAGCTTGATAGTAGCTCTAAAAATAGGCAGTATTGTAGAAGAAGTTGATGGCAGAGGAGATAGAGACCTAGTGACACTTAAGTTGTTCAGTGTCACAAAGATGTAAAATTCAGAGCTGAGACTGGAAACTGAATTTGTCTAAATGTAAGCTTCGAGATTCATCCACATCCCACTTCTAGTGCTCGACAGTCTCTTCATTATGGGATGACTTATTAAAAGTGATTACTATAGACTATACAATGGTATTCCCCTCCCTCAGATTCACATATTGCAACCTTCATCTCCAGTAATATAGTATTTGAAGATGAGAAGGGTTAAATAAGTTCCCAAGGATGAGGCCTTCATGGTGAGAGAAATGCCTTGGTAGAAAGAAGAGAGAGTGGATCCCACTCCCTCTGAGTGTCTGTGTGTGTGCGTGCACAGGCGTGCATGCATGTGTGTGCACACCCAGGCAAGACAAAGGGAGGGAATAAGAAAACAGTGATCTAAAAGCCAGGAGTAAGGTCCTCCCCAGACATCAAATATGTAGGCTCTGGAGCCCCATGAGAAATAAATATTTGCTATTTAAGTCACCCAGGTTGTAGGGTTTTGTTA